AATAAGCGAGGTCTCAAGGGCTACACTATGGTGGATCTGGAGCTCATGCGTAAGGAGGGTATTGAATAAGGGTTTGTAGAGGATTGACCCTGTTAGGCACTGAGGGCAGTGGGGAGGCAACTTCAGGGGATCCCGAAATCATCACTGTGCGGTCGCATCTTGGGGGTGTGCTCCAACCAGGGGATCTTTGTGCTGGGTGAGGTCTTGTGCGTTTTATGTGTTAGAGTGTGCGAAACTGGGGGATTCGCATTCTGGTCATTACCGAACGAGCGGAGCGAAGCGTATTTTATATTGCTCGTTTTGCTAATCAAGTGTAACGTAGGTGGAACATCATTATTTGTTTATCATTTGAATAAGTCATACGTAGGATAGGCACATATGAGGCTCTGGCGTCTACCAACTTCACGCGTTCAGGGTTAGAACTGAACTGGTTACCGCATTGTGCAATGCTCTCTATCTCTGCTGCTACAGATACGATCTCCGTACGGTGAATGTGTCGGGTATTGATGAGGAGATGCTCGAGAAGACCAACCTGGATGTGATCATAGTCAAGAAAACATACACTCGGCACCGTCAGCGCAAGCGTCCGTGGATTCTCAGAAGGCTCGAGAGGGAGGAAGATGCTGGTAGTAGTAGTAGTAGTAGTAGTAGTAGTAGTAGTAGTAGTAGTAGTAGGGTTCTAGCGTGGGATTGTATTATCTAGCTTATTGAAGTACCCTAATGTAGGTGAGGAGTCCAACGATGGTGATTACGAGCAGTTTATGCGGGACATTGAGGAGGATAAGGATCTTCGTCAGGAGGTCTTCTAGTTCTTGCGGGGGTTGCTCTCCCTATGTGATGTTCTATCCCAGATTAACCTCTTCCGTGATCCGGCATGGAAAGAGCCATGCAATGTGGCTGCTGCACAGGAGGAGGAGGAAGGGGAAGCAGACGTAAGTCGCTCCGTCGTCCAGTAGTTGGCCTGCTTGACGCTACTTGTTCAGGACAACGAAGCCCCCGAGGTGGACTTGGCTGAATTACTCGACGGTCTCACCCTCAACGATAAGGGTAAGGCTAACTGCTTTCCTCTCTATGACGGTGTTCTCAGGTTCTCAACAGGAGGAGGAGGATGACGAGCTATGAAGCGAAGTTTAGTGTTGTTGGTATTAACGTCCAGATGTGCCACTATATTCACCACAAGACTGAGTACCTGTTTCTCGCGAGATAGCTCATGTTGTTGTTGAGTATGTAAAAATGTTGTGATTGTTTTCTTATTAGTTTTTCCTACGTATTTATGTCGAATAAGCTTGAAGAAAGTTCAGTGCCACACCGAGGG